AACGCCGGCCACCGGGGCGTTGGGGACGGTGATGTTGGTGGCGTTGACATTGGCCATGGTGGCGTTGACGTTGGCCATGGTCATGTTGCTGTTGGCCATGGTGGCGTTGACGTTGGTCATGGAGGCGTTGGCCACGTTGACATTGGCCACGTTGACACCAGCATTGACCACGTTGACAGTAGAGTTGCCCATGTTGACATTGGCCACGTTGACATTGGTGTTGGCCACGTTGACATGACCCATGGGGACACCAGAGTTGACCACGTTGATGCCGGTCTTGTTGACCACGTTGACCTTGGCCACGTTGACGTTGACTGCGTTGACACCAACATTGGCCGCGTTGACGTCACCCATGGCCACGTTGGACATGTTGACACCAACATTGGTTGCGTTGATGTCACCCATGGCCACGTTGACGTTGACCACGTTGACGTTACTCGCGTTGACGCCAACATTGGCCGCGTTGACGTCACCCATGGCCACGTTGACACCACCATTGGCCGTGTTGATGTCACCCATGGCCATGTTGACGCCACCGTTGGTTGTCTTGATGTCACCCATGACCACATTGACGTTACCCACATCACCGTTGACCACGTTACCACCATTGGCGACACCTTCAACGCCACCACCCGGCGCGAAAGCGATTTGCCGGCGAATCCCATCGCGGCGAGCGTGGAAATCGGCGAGCTCGGCTACGATGGCTTCTTTGATCTCCTCCTTGGTGAGGACCCGGCGGTCGAAGGCGAAGTCGAAGGCGGGGACACACTCGGGTTCATCTTCAGGATCGTGGTATTTGGCCAAAAATGGGTGTCTCAAAGCTTCGGTCACCCCAACCCTCTCGCGTGGATCGAACCGTAACATCCTCCCCAACAACGCCAACGCCGCCGGCTCGGCGTCACCAAAAAGACTCTCCCAAGGAACCGGTGGCCTCGGTGGTAGACTTTGAACGTAAGACCTGACTCGTTCGGCACCGATGGCGGCCATGACGGTGGCTGGTGGTGTCCCTAAGACAGCCATGATGAGTTGAAGTTGATGGACGTAGTTTCTCCCCGGGAAAAGTTGACGTCGACCCAACATCTCGGCGAAGATACAACCAACCGACCAGATGTCGATGGCGCGGGTGTAACGGTGGAGGGACAGGAGAAGTTCTGGTGCTCGGTACCATCTGGTGGCCACGTACTCGGTGAGGAAAGCTTTGGTTTGTCTTGGGTCAGCTCCTAAACCTCTGGCCATACCGAAATCACCGATCTTCAACTCGCAATTCTCGTTGACCAAAAGGTTGCTGGGTTTGAGGTCACGGTGGAGAACGTTGGCCGAGTGGATGTATTTGAGACCGCGGAGAAGTTGGTAGAGGAAGTAACGGACGTGCTCCAAAGTCAACGGTTGAGATGAGTGGATGATCTGGTGGAGGTCGCTCTCCATCAAATCCAGAACGACGTAGCTGTAGGGAGGAAAGAGGAACCAAGTGTCCAGGAAGGGTTGGAGATGTTCCTCATGGGGCCACCACCC